TCGCGGTGCCCGCGGACCTGCCGGCACGGGGCAGTGCACAGGCTCGGCTGGAGTGGGAAAAACTGTCGATCAAAGGGTAAAATTAAAGAAAACAGAAAAGAACGAGCTATCCCTGCAAGGGTGGGCAGCCCGCTTGAAACAGGAGTGGAAAATCCAGGTAAAAGCAGCTGGGTGCAGGCGGAGGAGTGCCTGGCCAGCCGGCTCCAAGGAGTAAGAGGAAACAGAGCTTCTGATGCCTCCAGGTCATTTGCTTTTTCCTTGTGTAACATAATTTCTATAGGGCTTGTTGTCGTTAGTAGGAGAATTAATCTAAATCTCGCCGTGCTCTGGCTGCTGTGCCGGCTGCTGGAGCCATGCCGAGGAGGGTCAAAGAGGCAGGTCCTCTTCGTGGCATGCAAATAAAAAAATTAAAAAATTAAACAGGGAGGTCAGCTGGAGGCTATGGCCGAGGAAATTAATGATTTTTTAAACAATCAGGGAAGTTTGCGTCGGCCTGGTAACGTAACTCAATTGCTGTCATTAAACCCGCGTCGCTGACGTGGGGTCGCTTTTGCCCGACTAAGCAAAATCCTCTCATTAAGCCCCAGTTGTCGTTAGTGTAATTATAAAATGAGGATGAATGGCGGAGGGGAAGGAGGCGGTGGGGATGCCCGCAAGGACAGGACACATTTCCTCCTGCCCCCAGCACCCGCAGGGCTCCGGGGAAGGATGAGGGACCCCGTGCTGCCGGGATGCTGGGGTGGGATCTACCCCCATGGGGTCGCATCCTGCACCCCCAGCACCAGGCACTGCCTGCAGCCCTCCAGCCTCAGGTCCTAACACCCCTGCCAAAATCCCAGCTTTTCTAAAATTCCAGGAAAATGTCCCATCTCTAAACCATCCTGAATTTTTTTAGCTCTGGATAATTTTTCCTTCTCGTTGCTGCAGGGGTGGCACCCCAGGAAGGCGAGGGCTCCCCCAGCCTGGTCCTTTCCTCCCTGACACGCCCGGGAAGGGTTTGGAAAAGCTCTTGCACCCTCCCGTGCCCGAGTCCACGAACTGCAAGGCAGCGGGGAAGGATGGCTGGGTCCCCGCCACGCTGCGGGAGAGCCCACGAGTGGGAGAAACCATCACCAACCCCTCGCCGCTGACGGTCCCAGGGGGGTTTCCTTCCACCGCAGCGTCCCAGGGGAAACCAGCCCAAAAAATACCTTCCTTCCCAGCACCGCGGGAGAGGGACAGCGGGCGGGAGGTGTCCCAGGGATGCAGGGATGGAGGGATGGCGGGATGGAGGGATGGAGGGATGGATGGAGGGAGGGATGGATGGAGAGAGGGAGGGATGGAGGGATGGAGGGATGGATGGTCCTGTGGACGCTCCAGGGTGGGAGGCAAAGGAGCAGTTCCTGTCCCCCAGGACTCGCCTGGAGGTCACCAGACCAAAGGCAAAGCAGCAGATCAGAGGATTAATGGGTGGAAAAGCAGCTTGAACCTTCAGACTTGGGACCTGATTAGTAATTAGAGCCAGAGGTCGGCCCATGCACGGGGAAGGCAGCGAGGGTGATGCCATGGGGCACGAGCCAGAGGCAGGGCAGGAGGGGGACGGGGGGCCGGGTCCTGTAATCCCGGGGAGA